TGCCAGATTTTGTTGAGTGGAGCCCAACGACGGCAGTGCAAATCAAAACTCCTGCAGTGCATTTACGATGACAGGAATACTTCACTTCGATTAGAGAGTTTTGGTAGAACCACGAAGTATCGACGCGTGGACATTCGATTTCGTCTGTGACAGAGCGACAGCAATCAACTTTTTCACAAACGTACTCACAGTTACGACTACAACATGAGTCAACCGTCCTTGTGAGGTGTCATTATGGCGAGGTTTGTGCGTTGAATAACCGAACAGACTTCAATAGACAGCTCTCGAGATGTCTGTGTGCACACGAAGGCGATTTTGCAGTGATGTTCATGGATCAGGTGTTGTTCAAAGATGTCCGATATTCAAATAGTATCAATGCCCCCTTTTTATGGTGGCTTTTGGTGCCTATGCTGTTCCAGCTCGACCACATTCACTGCCTGCCACCAAGGTGAACTTGAATGTGTTTTAATGGTTGAAAAATTCGGAGTCAAATATTATTATTAACGTCCATACTGTCGTCACATCTTCGGCCATCCACCTTCGTCCCAGCGTTGCTCATGTATTTCAAAGCAATGCAGTGCGGCATTCGAAATGCTTCCACCTCAGCATCGCTCGGTTTCCAACCCAGACACCTCGTCCCTAACCATAAGCTTGACTTTGGCGAGAAAGGAGTTCTATAACTATGAATGCAACACTTGCAACCGTAGCGTCCCAAGTCCTTCGGAGGGGCAATAATAAACCCTTCCAGCATAAGGTAGGATATAAAGGCAGACTGGGGAGAAAATGGCATAGCATTTTGGCAATGCTGCCAAGGTGGAAGTAATAATCGGACACTCAAAAATGTTCACTCGTTTAACCTCACCACCGAGTGAATGTAACAGAAGAGAACAGCAATGGAATTTTTGCGTGATAAGTCGTTAAATCTTAAGTTCGAGAGTAAGGTAAGTAGACAGGAGCTAATTCTTGTGCGTCTACTGTCACCGTAAAATTGGTCAATGCACGCATTAGTTACGTGGGCAACTTATCAGATCCGAAACGACATGGTAAACTTCGCAAATGTGACTTAAAGGCAATTTTAAGTGCAAGTGGTCAGTTAATGTTCTGGCCTGAGCTTTCACTTACTCTACATGCATTTGTATAATCACAACCATTTTGTTAAAGAAGCACTTTTAGCTGGGTGTGTCAGATTCCATGTAAAGCATTCCAACCTGGAAATTAAAAAGCTTCCCCTTTTATGCCTCTGAATACATGCCCGAAATAGTAGTTAACGAATGCTTTACTATTTGTTCTACTGCGTTACTGGCTGCAAGCACTTAATTTTTTTGTCTTTTTTACACTATTATGCTATTTTATGTTCTGGTGGTAGTGATAAGCTCTACGTAAGTAACGGACCTATGCAAGGCAGGATCGAGAGCTCAAAACTTCTACTTAATAAAATTAAGTAGCCATTTAGGATAATTGAACACTTCTAATTTGCAGCTTGAACATCAGAACTCGGGAGAAAATTGGCGCATTAAAACGGAGTAGTTGTTGGAAATCGCTTTATTTATCTGACTACTGCTGCGAGTAGGCAAGTGACCAAATAAATCAGAGGTAAAAATTGTCTGTAGTCGAGATGGAAGTACCAATAAAAGCTTCTTTACTGCTGAGAAGAAATGGGAGAGGTAGAAAGGGAATAGAGTGGATCCTAACTTTGGTCTATCGAGTTCGAATGGACTGTTTAAGAGCAGATTTGAGAGGCGTTGTAGATACTGGCGGTTTGTGACTCACTCGGACTGGAAGTTGATCATCACTTTCCTCTTCTTCCTCTTCGTCTTCTTCTTCCTCTTCGTCTTCTTTTTCTTCCACTTCTTCTTCATCCTCCACATCATCATCATTATCTTCTTCTTCTCCTTCATCATCTTCGTCAGAGAGTTCATTTTCTTCATCGTCCTCTTCGTCTTCCATTTCGTTGTCATAATCATAATGGTCATCACCGTCTCGATAGTCAAATTTACTAGCTTTTCTGCCACGCATCTGTGGGTAGGAAGCAGCACAACCGATGAAATGAGCCAGTCTAGAGGGACTCAGGTACTGAACCGAGATGTGACACCAGTAAAAGTCACAGTGGTCATTACTACAAACTCACTCCAAGCAGATTGAGAGAATCGAAACACCAACGATTCAAAACATCTTAAGCAATTTACACAGTTTCACCAAACCCAGCCCTACTTAGCTAACAGATTTTCAAACACCTTAAAAAGTACAACCTCATCTGCTTAAGTATCGTTTTTTTAATTAATTCCTGAGGTTATGCAAAAATGCACAAGAAAACTAATTATTTAGAGGAAAATAAACTTCAATATCTGTGTACGTAATTTTCATCCGTTTGAAGTTCTCAAGTGTAAATTGCAAACTACGCCCAATGAAAGCTTTAAGGAAGTTTATGAGAGATCGCTTGAATGCTAAAGTATGTCTAAAAGATCCCTCAAACCTGTAACCCGAGAAATGTAGTTCCTGAATTATTCATAACACGCTCAACTTCTACACGCAATAATCGAATGCACATGGAAGTTTTAATTATTTGCACGTTAATGGTCTACTTGGGTATATAAAGCAATTGAGTCTGCGCATTAATCAGCCCGCATAATTGGTGGATTGACTTTCACTTATTTGCCTAAAATCCCTAAAACAAGGCGCTTGTCCTAAATTTCCCAACACCAACAAACAGTCCGCCTTATCACAGAAAATACAAAGTGGCAAAATTTTTACAAACATGAGCGGAAAATGCAGGAAATGAAGTGACACAACAGAAATAAAAGTGCTACACAACAGTTATACTTCACATCAAAACACATCTCGATGAAATAGGCAGATGGAAGTCACAAGTTAAACCTGGTTCAAATGAAGAGTAGAAAATGATTTACAGCGAAGCTGTTCTACTTACAAATTATAAGTAGTAAAAGAGAGAAAACTCACTAAATTTTCCTTCTGTAGATCTACCTGGCGATTGCGGATGTTAGAAGGTGAGGAGTTGAGCCCGGGAACGCTACGACTCTTGGATGGATCAAGAGCGATATGAGATTTCTAAAATTCCGCAAAGTACTGACTAAAATCCATGCTCTGTCTCACCTTTTGTATAAAAAACCCGATCCCCTTTTTTACGGTCGAGAGATTCAACTAATTGTTGAATAAATTCGATATCCAATGCCAAATGTCATGGAGATGCAGGAGCACTTGCCTGGACGTGATCATCATTGAGACTACCAAGAGTACCAGAACGGAAGAGAGTGTTGCGAAAATCAGCTAGATCAACCTCTTCTTGCATCGACTGAACCACATTAAAAGCATCAGTTAGTGTTTCCAATGCTTTGGCATGCCACAACATCTCAATGTGTACAAAGTCTGTCAAGATGTTCTGAAAGGGAACAAAGTTGTCTCCTTACATGCGCATAATAATGGTCAGCTTACGAAAACCGCAATAAAATACCTTTAAGCCTTTGAGTTTCTTCGCCTCAAATTGTATGACATGCCGTTCCAGTGCGTCTGCGGAGCGAAGAGCATCTCGTGTTGCAATGTTTATCCTCTCTTCTGTCTACAGTTACGAAACAGGGATGTGTTAGCAATGGCACTCGAAAGAGGTTCCTGCAAACTCAAGTGCTCCAAAATAGCCTCACAGATAAGGTAAAGGGTGTGTGGATGAGTTGC